GTACTTCCCCCAAAAGGCGAAGAAGCAACATGTGCAGGAAAATCAGTCATGCTCAAAATGATGCTAGAATCAATGTAAGAGCCCAACTTGAAACTAGTTCGCGGATGCGCTTGAAGTTGTAGTGCTTTGTGCCTAAACGCATACTGAGGAGGGTGTCCAGCTCTCCGGATTTCACTGTTGACGTTCAGAAAGCCCCTCCTGCCAGAAGGGGCCACAACAGGGGCAAAGTTAGGTGTATGACTGTATGGACTACAGCTTCTCTGATTAGGGACTGTTTCCGTTATAGGGATAGACCCCGAGGGTCTAAACCTAAACCTGTACCCCAGTCCCTCAATGGTCCGCCGCCTTCAAAAACACCTTCAGAACTGCGAAAGGATCTTTACCCTAAGGCTCAAAATAGACCAAAAGCCTTATATAGTATAGTCTTTGGGCCCAAAAGCATTAAAATATGAGTCCTTAGAGCCTAAGGGTTAGACAACCAAGAACTAGGTGTCGATCTCAAGAGTCCAAAAGAACATCTATAGTTAGGGCTCTGTCTTCAAGAACGAAGGAAAACTATCCCAAATCGATGCCTAGAAAAAAATCCCTATAAACCCCTAAACCCTAAACCGTAAATCCCCATAAACCCCTAACCCCTAAACCCTAAACCCCAAAAAAGTCGGAGCGGCTCTTCGAGGTCCAAGTTCCCGTTGTTGTCCTGTCCAGCGTAGTTGCTCTCAGCCCTTCAAGGAGAGAGGGGAGAGAACATACACCCAGAGACTCCAACATCCCTTAATTAAGGAATATGCCGAAAAAATATAATGGGATCCTTAATATGATTTAAGGAATATTCCTTAGTCAGAGCCCTTGAAGGACATGGATGGTTGTCAAAACTATGGTCCCTTTTTGGGTCCCTATTATAGTACGGCACCTATTATTTAGGGTACCCTAATTTTGACAACCACCCATATAGGGTTTGGGTTCTGGGGGTTTGGGGTTTAGGGAGGTTGGGTACAGGTAGGTTGGAGGTTAAGGGTTGGGAGGGGATGCTATAGCAAATTGAAGCAGACAATAAGAGAGAGCGCGAGAGAGAGAGAGAGAGAGAGAGACCACTACCCGTGCTGCCTGAACCCTGCCCGCAGGAACATGTGGTGCTTCTGTATTGGGCTCTCTGGGGAGCGATAGAGAGAAGTGCTCATGCGAAGGTAGAGAGCTGAGACAAGTGAAGGACCTACGCAGCCGCTGGCAGCCGCAGTTGCAATGCAGGTCATCAACATGCGAGTCGGTGTTGCAAGACCAAACATCGGCCCACTGGCAGACGAAACCTCAACGGTCCAACTAGTTCCTGAATTGAAGGCAAACGAGTTGAGCTGCACTGCAGGTACCTTCATGGCTAAAGTAAGTGAAGTTACGTAGGTGTAAGTTTCGATCCGTCCAGCAACTCCAAACACCCAAATTCCACGAAAGCAGAAACCCTATAGCGGACTGAATGATCAGAATAGGGTTTTGGGGTACATTATACTATAAATAAAAAGAAGGAGCACCCAAAATAATGTATAGGTAATTACTCAAGCCCTTAGATTATAGGCCAAAAGCCACAAAAAACCTCTCAAAGCCAGGCAAATGGTCTGCGGCTTTGGCCTTGTCAAAGCGTTTGAAGACCTGCCAGGCGATCCGGCCACCACGCAAGGATGAGCTCATGGGCAGGAATGACGGAGTTTGGGTTTAGGGGTTAGGGTAGGGGCTAGGGTTAAGGGGTTTGGGGTGTAGCAATTTAAGGGGTTTAGGGGTTAGGGATTTTGTAAGTAAGGGAAATTTCTTGAAACAAGTGGCGTTGGGCTTTTGTGGGGAGGGAGAGGAACAGAGACACAAAGAGAGAGAGAGAGAGGGAGACGGCCGGAGAAGGAAGGTCTTTAGAGCGCTTTCGGGTTTAGTGCCTGGGGGTTCGGGCTGAGGGCAAAAGAAATCTGACCCGTAGATCCCTAAACACTCAGCACACTCAACCCTGACCCAAGAAGAAGCTGCGAAACCCCAAAGAAAGCCTGATAGTTCAAGCACGCCTGATTGCCAAAAGCAGTTCGAAACGCGACGCTAGAACCTTTGCACAGCAAGTTCAAACCCCAGTCCCTAAACCCTAAACCCCGAAACCCTAAACCGCTAAGCCGTAAACCCCTAAACCCTAAACCCCTAAACCCCTAAACTCTAAACCCTAAACCCCTAAACCCCTAAATCCTAAACCCCTAAACCCCTAAACTCTAAACCCTAAACCCTAAACCCCTAAACCCCGAAACCCTAAACCCCTAAACCCCTAAACTCTAAACCCTAAACCCTAAACCCCTAAACTCTAAACCCTAAACCCCTAAACCCCAAACCCTATACTCCTAAACCCCTAAACCTTAAACCCCTAAACCCTAAACTCTAAACCCCTAAACCCTAAACCCCTAAACCCTAAACCCTAATCGAGAGACCTCGCGGAGGCGTGCCGAGATGGATGAGCCGGTCTCTGCGATGATGATCCGACCTCCCACGCTCCCAGCGAGATCCTTTATGGCTAGAGGCTCCATAGTAGTTCCTTTTTGGGGGGGTTGACATTTAGAATTCTATAAGATAATCCCCAAAAGGAACTACTATGGAGCCTATGGGTAAGGTGAAACCCAGAAAGTTGGAACATCGATATAGGATGATTCATGCTGGGATTCCCTATACTTTACTCTAAGGGCATGAGGCTAATGATGCTCCAACTTTCTGGCTTCTACTGTAAGGGTTCCTGTAAAGGCACCTTTAAGCTTCAGGGTTTAGTATTAGGGCTTCTGAACCTTGCAATACACGGTGACTAGGGGCTCTGCATGTAAAGACTCTCGGCTCCAACTTTTTGAAGAGTCGTTCTGAAGGCTCGTTGCAGGATCTAGAAAAGCTACTATATTATATATATATATATATATATACTTGTATACATCAAGATATGATATCTATCTCTCTCTCTCTCTCTCTCTCTCTCTCTCTCTCGCTCTCTCTTATGTTGTTTCTGATTTTTTTCAGTCGAAGGTTCACAGTCAGGCAACGCAGCTCTTCGGATGCGTTGCTGCCCGTCTTCAACCAGTCCATGAACTCCTTGCGCGCAGCTTCGCTGGCTTCAAGGGGAACAGGAGGGACCCTTCATAAGGACCCCTAGGTATTTAAGGGATCAAAAAGGGTTCTATAAAGGGTTTAGGGTTTAGGGTTTAGGGTTCCCTTGATAAGGACCCCTAGGTAATATACCCTTAATATAGCCATTATATACCCATTCTATAGCCCATTATAGGGTAAGGGGTCCCCCTTAAGGGTCCCTCCTGTTTCCCCTATGACTGGCTTCAAGTTTAGGGTGCCTGGGCTAAGCTCACGGGGTCGGCTTGCGAGGAAGAACCCTGAACCTGAACACCAAATAAACATGCAGAACTCGCCAAAGACACATCCCTGTGTATTCCTGCCTCAGGGTCCTTGCGATCAGGACGGTCATATGGTTGTCAAATTGAGGGTCGCTTTTTGGGTCCGTAATATATGCTACGGCACCTACTATTTAAGGTACGCAAAAAAGGACCCTAATTTTGGCAAGCACCCACATACAGAACGAACCACGAGAAAGGTATCACAGACTCTCAAAGCGACTCCCACGCCCCTTGATTAAGCAAAATACCGCAGCTCAAAACAAGAACCCCTCTAGCTTCAAATAACACCGGCTACCATTTAGGGTACATCCGTCACTTCTAGTAAAGTAAACTCGGCTACCACTTGAGGTGCTGAAAATCATTCCTCCCGAACTCAAAGTCGATCTACTTGTTTAAACTTCTTGGAGCGTCTCGGAAAGCTCAAACCCTACTATCCTGAAAGGAAGTCTTGGTAGAACCTTGTGCAGTGCCCCTCTTAGAACACCCTCAAAGGAGCCACCAAAGGACCCATAGACCCTAAACCTTGAAGGAGCCCTTCAAGGACCCTTCAAAGGACCCTTAGGCTCTAAAGTCTTTTAGAACCCTTAGCTTACCCTCCAAAGGACCCGGAAACCCTAGCCCCTAAACCCTTCACCCTACATCCCCCGCCCAAGCCCCTTCAATGGACCCAGTAAACGCAAAGCTGAGCTCTTGCTAATGATATTTGGTTGAAATACCATGTTAAAGAAGCCATGTCATTTACTTTAGATCCCTACTATGGCACCTTACATTACATTAAATTCCTTAACAAGAACTCAGTAAGGGAGTCTTTGCATCCTTGTGCGAGATCAAGCCATCGGAGTTGCCGGACCTGCAGCCGGGAACTCTTTGAGTAAGGGGGGCTCCACAGCGGCTTTCGGCGTTAGGGCCGTTAGGGTTCATAGGGTTTAGGGGTTAGGGGTTAGGGTTTACGTGGTATGGTTTGGGGCTTTAAGGATTTGGGACCCTCCCGCCGGGCTTGTAGAAGACTGTGCCGTGCAAACTATCGTTTTTGTTTATCTTCATTTTTTGGTTTGGGGGGGGGGGGGGTGTTGGTAGGGTTCATGGGGTATGGTTTAGGGCTTGAGGGGTTTGGGGATTTAGGCGTGTAAGGGTTCAGGGTCGAGGGGTTTAGGCGTTTAGGGGTTAGGGTTTAGCGGTTTGGGGGTTTAGGGTTTCTAACTAGAAGCCAGCAAAATGGAACATCGCTATCCTCCTGACCCTAGAGTAAAGCATAAGGAATCCCAGCACGAATCCTCCTAAATCCATGTTCCAACTTTCTGGGGTTCACCATACCCATAGGCTCCATAGTAGTTCCTTTTGGGGATTACCTTATGGGATTCTAAATGTGAACCCCAAAAGGAACTACTAACTTTCTGGGGTTCACTCTAAACCCATAAGGTCCTCTAGGGTTAAGGGTTTGGAGTGTCGAGGACAAATCAAATCACTAGCAAAACTCAAACAATACTAGGTGGGGCTTTTAAAGCCTTTGAAAAAAATTAGTAAATAAGATCCTCTTAAGCCCAATAAGGGAAAATATAAAATATCCCAAAGCCCTACCTTGAATAAGCGTGATGGCTAATTTGGCAAAATAGCTGCAACGTCCGGTCGCCTGTCAAGAATCCGTGGAACCCAGCTGTCCAAAATCTGCTTGGGCAAGTCCTCTCTTTCAACGGACTCCTCTGCGAAGATCGCCATGACGATGGTTGGAACAATGTCATGAGAACCATGCTTCGCACGCTGTCCGCCTGCATCAAGAAGAGATTGAACTTCTCGGCTAAACCATTCATAGCCATGACCTTGTTGAGGTCTGAAGTATGCAGCCTGGTCGAAGACGCAAAGATCGGCCACAGCTTCGATGTGGAGCAGTGGCCCATAGAAAGGACACGATCGTAGCACTAGTTAGTGAAAACCGCTCACCCCAACAACAACCCGATTAGCAACCCTCAGAGTAAACCGTGGAGCAACCTTCACAGTCATCTGCAAAAACAACAACCCAGAGACTCCAAAAACCCTTACTTATGGAATATACCCTTCAATCATATTAGAGATCCTAATACAATTTAAGGCATACTCCTTAATTATCGTATATTGACATCTCTGGATTCCTGGATCATTCTCTTGAGGACCAGGCCCATCAAGCCACTTGCAGTAGTAACCCACCTCCACCGGTGAGTTTGGTGCTCAGGCCCCAAGGGTCCAAAGTATAGGGTTCCTTTAAAGGGATCTATAAGGGGTCCTTTAAAGGGATCTATAAGGGGTCCTTTAAAGGGATCTATAAGGGGTCCTTTAAAGGGATCTATAAGGGGTCCTTTAAAGGGATCTATAGGGTTTAGGGATCTAAGGACTCATAGGTGCTCAGGCCCCAAGGGTCCAAAGGACCCAACTATTAGGGTTCCTCTATAGGGTTCCTTCGGGCTCCTTTAAAAGGGTTACTGTATAGGTTCTATTTTATGGGCCTTACTAATTCGGTACTCGGTTTTAGGATAGTAGTTATGTAGGTAAGGATTTTGGCGAGTATATGATCCCAGACCTTCCAAAATCCCTTAATTAAGGAAATTACCTTAAATTATAGTAGGATCCCTAATATGATTTAAGATATATTCCTTAATTAAGGGATTTTGGAAGGTCTGGGATTATTGGGTACTTGGCCCCTTGGGGAGGGATTAGTTTAGGTGTTTCAGGTCTATGGGGTAGGGTTCAGGGTTCCGGTGCGTTTCGTTTCAAGTGTTGCTGTAAGGGCTACTGAGACTTGATATTTGGGATCCATTAAGATGTTTAAAGCTTACCCTAAGGCTCTAAGGACTCATATTTTAAGGCTTTTGGGCCTAAAGACCATATTATAAATGGCTTTTGGGCCATTTTGAGCCTTAGGGTTAGGGAGGGTTTAGTGTTTGGGGTTTTGGCTGCAGGGCTCTATCGGATCGTCCGAGGTTTCATCGAGTCCTATAGACCCAGACCTTCCAAAACCCCTTAATTAAGGAATATACCCTAAATCATATTAGGGACCCTACTATGATTTAAGGTATATTCCTTAGTTAAGGGATTTTGGAAGGTCTGGAGACCTTTATCACGGTTCTTTCGGAGAGCGCTCTTTACGGCCACAGCGGCCGCCATAAACCCTAAACGTTAAACCCCAAGACCCCTGATTCAACTCTGTCTAAACCCTACAGGATTACCTTAACTGCTGAGTTCCCTAGTCCAAAATAAGTTGACCTTTGTAGGATTACGTATATAAGCCCCAGCAGGTCAAACAAAGGCTACGTACCTACAGTACCTACTCAGCTGCGAAGTTACTGTCTGGTATCCCTAGACCCTTAAACCTAAACCGCAGTAGGGGCTCAGAAAAGCATGGAAGATGGAAGCCGAAGTAGCCGAACTTTCGGAGTATATCGGAAACTGTTCGTAACAGCACCCAAGAGGAAGCTTTTTCGCAATTACCATAAACCCGTATAGGAACCCTTATAGGAACCCGAAAAGAAGCCTACAGCTTCATGAGAACCCCTTTAAAAGAACCCTGAGCCCTGTTAACTTTGAGGTCCAGATGTCTACGTGCCTTTGGGCAGAGTCGGTGCAGAGCTTTTGGGTGGTTGGGAGCTTCGGGTATTCAGGGTTTAAGGCTTTTGTGATGGAGGGTTTGGCGATTCGGCTTTCAGAGTTTATCGGCTTGCGGTTTACGGTTTATGGGTGCCGCGCTCTGGCGTAAGGGTTGTGTAAGACAGTGTTGCTACATTGTAACGATTCAAAAAATGATGCACAAGAACAGGGTCAAGGTTTGATCTGGAGGCCCTGCTTACACAAAATCATCTAAACTTCTCTCTTTAATTCTCTTTATGTTACAGAGAAAAACGATGTACTGCAGATATGGTAAACAAGAACCTGGCCGAAGGACAATACCAGTACCCCAACTCTACAAAGTTGGAATAGCAAGTTGTAAGTTTCGCCCTAAAGCGGCAGGGTATAATAGTGAAACAGTAGGTTGTTGGATCCGAGGGTGAACCCTAAATCCTAAATCCGAGTCAAGGACCACCAGCTCTTTGAAAGCAAACGGTCCAAGGACCCAGTAATCATATACTCTCCCAAATTGTTTAGGGTTTAGGGTTTAGAGTTAAATCCTAACCTATCTAACTACTATCCTATTCCCAAAGTACCTTATACTGAATCCTTTGGACCCTTGGGGAAAGGGCCTCTGTCTGCGTGAAGTTCGGATTCAACGTGTGTAGAACCTCGGTGCAAAGCGGTCAAGGGCTTTGGGCTTTGGTATTAGGAAAATCTTATGGTATTAGGGTATAGGGATTAGGGTATAGGGTTGAGCCCAGGGATTAGACGCATTTGCGTGCGTAAGGATGTTCAATTTGAGGTTTGAGGCTTGGTTTTAGGACCTGGATAGACCATGCAGCGTGATTTGAACAAGTACGGGCGATGTTTGAATCCACCTCACGTCCCAAAGCATTCCACCTGTTTCGCCTGCTTTAACTGTGTCTTTTTCAAGCTCCGCTAGCATCTTAGGCTATAAACTGCGACAGTATAATGAACTATTAACTTAATCCCTAATACGATCTCGTCAGGCCCCTGTATTATTTCTTACCCCAAGGGTCCAGTTACCCAAGAATCATAGTCATATACTCTCCAAAATCCTAGCCTAGATAACTACTATCCTAAATTCGAGTACCTCATTATTGGGTCCTTTGGACCCTTGGGGTTACCCTTCTGGACTGAAGAAGGTTTATAGGGTTCACGGATGCGAAGATTCAAGGGGCCCGCCTGCGAAACAAGTCCTGCTTAGGACTCCCCCTACTTAAGAGCTGGGGTTCTGTCATGGTGTATGGCTTCGGCTTGATCATTGCTCATCCTGCTGGTAACGATAAAGCCCCAATCCGACACCTCTCGCTCCTACAATCCTCAAACCTTCAACCCTGAACCCTAAACCCTGACTTTCAGCATCGTGGGCAGGGCGCGTCCCGAAGCTCCACCATGTCAAGCTGCCCGCTACCGTCCTTTCTGGATGTCGAAGAGCTTCGAATTTCGGCACAATTAGGCCCTAAACCCCAGACCCTAAACTCTAAACCTTTAAACTTCAAACCCCAGCCCGAACACTAGGCTTTGGAGTTTAGGCGCAGCGGTGGGTTGAAGGTTCTTGCCTCAGCATCCCTGACAAATAAACTCCCCGTAAAGCATCTACAGTAGAAGCCAGGAAGTTGGAACATGGCTTCAGGAGGATTAGGGCTAGGATCCCAAATACTTTACTTTATGGGCACGAGGATAATGATGTTCCAACTTTCTGGCTTCTACGATATCTACAGGGGTATTGCTGTGCAAATGCAATGAAGTCTGCACTGGCCTTTAGAAAAGTGCCCGTCTCGCTGAGTGCAGTAAACCGCTTTGGAAGAGAGAACTCCTAACCCAAAAACCCCTAAACCCCCAAAACCGCTAATAGCATTAACCCATAAATTCATCACGGGACCTCCACCGACAACAAACCCGAGCTGCACGAATCAGCACTTCAGTCCTTGTCGAACATCGTGAAGACCTGCAACGAGATTTAAGGTCTTTCGAAATCATGATACGACGGCTACTAGCTACCGAGTATATATATATTTATATATATACATGCATACATACATACATTAGCGCCCCTGATTCTATGAAGCGATGAGTTCGAACATCGGCTGAAACCATGACTGGACCCTTCACAGCCACCGCAGGCGCCACAGCCTGAACCCTAAACCTGAGCCTCACACTGCGAACACTCAAAATCTGGCCCCGGATAAACTTTTGGCCCCCCCAAAACAAGAGAAGGATGTACTTAGGGTTCCTTGTTGTCTAGTTATAGTATAGCATACCCCTAAATACTATTCTTCCCCTGTAGCCTATTGCTATGTTTAGGTTGTTGCGTGTACGGAACACATGTACCCTGTGAATCGACTGGGCTCTTATGCTTGTCCATATATGTGCACTCATGGTAGCATTATGCAGCATTCTGCAACCCTTGACACGTTGACATGGCATAAGGTGGCACAGAGCGCAACATCAAGCCTAAACACAAGGCCGAAATCCCAAACCCTGGCCTAAACCTTGTTTTTCGAGAACGCCCGAACCTGTACCACCCAAGACAAGAAGATCTGAGCTAGCCCTGCCCGCCCAATTACCTACATGTTCAACAGTTAATCACCCTATTGAAAGCTTGTACAGTAGTACGTAGGTCCCCGCCATGCGGCATGTTGACAACTGGGCGCCTAGGGTAGAGCCCTAAACCCTAAATCGTTGACAACTGGGTTCCCAGGGCAGACCACCTCACGTATGCGGTTATCCATGTCATCGAGGCTGATAGGAATGATCTCCTGCCGTGAAAAGCTGCATATTATAGGAGCCCAAATACTTAGAATAGGGTTCCTTTAAAGGGCTCTTAAAAGGGTCCTACTACGGATACTATAAGGGGTACTATGGGGGGTTAATATACAGGCCTTAATAACTACCTATGCAATTTTGGGGGTGTTCCTTATGGGCCCCAAAACCTTATTCTAAGTATTAAGGGCCCTATATGAAGCTTAAAAAGAGTTTAAATGACTGTGCTTGTTTTGGGGGGCCGCGAAAACTGCGAGCTGCTCTGTGGCTGGAAACTGAAAGTAGCTCCGTGGAGTGGAGGAATTCGGGCTTCAAGGGTTTAGGGTTTGGGGTTTAGGGCTTGCCGTAGAGTGGCGCATGAGCAGAAATATCTTTGCGACAGTGTAATTTCGAGTGTGTCGTCGTAGCACGATTCGTCGTCGGAGCCTGATTGTGGATGGCTCTTTCTTTCGATTCTCCCACCCCACGCCGTCTAAGGCGGCCAAACCACTTAAGGAACATGCCTTCAGGCATAGTGGGATCTCGAATATGATTCGAGATATATACCTTAATCAAGGGGTATTGGAGTCTCCTAGACCCCAAGCAATCTATCGTAATTACCAGGCTAGCTTCATATGGTGCATAAGAGAAAGACAGGCTTTGGGGAGGGTTAGGGTGAGGCTTAGCTTAGCCCTGGGGGCTTATTTGGTTCAGACGTCAGGGCATAAGAATTTTGGGTTTACGCTTTAGCGTTGAAGGGGTAGAGGTTTAGGGTTTAGTGTTTTTTTAGGGCTTAGGTGCATAGAGGTTTCGGATAGCTAGGGGCTTCTGCTGACATTTTGCCGCGAACCAGCATCCTTATGGGATTTGAATCTGAGAAATCTGCCGATCTCCAAAGGGCACTGGGTGATTACATATAGATCACTAATTTCACCAGTTCTCCAACTTAGGGTGCCTGTTAAGAGTCCTAATTATACGTGCGCCGTAATACTTTGGGGACCGAACAAGGGGCACTAGTTCAGAGAACTGTACATTTAGGGGCTACGGGGGTATGAGAGGATGGCTCGGCGCGCCTCCTTGACTCGCGACACGAATCGGGGCGGCCGGCGGTACCTCGCAAGTCACCCTGAACCCAAGTCCCTCAAACCTAACCGTAGGCTTTTGAAGCCTATGCAACAAAAAGCTTGGATTATCATTGCGGTCAAGCGAAGTTGTAATCAATCGTGCAACATGCCGCATAGAATGCCCCTTTCTGTGCCGGGAGTTGATGCGGCGCATACACTTTTACACTACCCCCTAGCCTAGAACATGTCAAACCTTGAGCCCTGCCCTGTGTTCGAAGTGAGCCTTCAACGTAGCCACCCAAACCCGAAACCCGCAACCCCATTAAACGCTCACAAGAATCTTTAACTGAATACTTATCGTAGCAGGCTAAGCCTGCTGGCCTTGAGGGAAACCCCAAAACCCCAAACCATGAAGCTTTGAAGGATTAAGGTTTTTGGCGTAACCATAGCACCCAAAATCTAGCAGTAGCCGCAGTAGTGGTAGTGGTAGTGGTAGTGGTAGTGGTCGTGGTCGTGGTCGTGGTCGTGGTCGTGGTCGTGGTCGTGGTCGTGGTAGTGGTAGCGGTAGCGGTAGCAGTAGGGGTAGCGGTAGCGGTAGCCGTAGCGGTAGCGGCAGTGGCAGTGGCAGAGGCAGAGGCAGTGGCAGTGGCAGTGGTAGTGGTAATGGTAGTGGTAGAAGTAGTGGTAGTAGTAGTAGTAGTAGTAGTAGTAGTAGTAGTAGTAGTAGTAGTAGTTTTAGTAGTAGTAGTAGTAGTAGTAGTAGTAGTAGTAGTAGTAGTAGTAGTAGTAGTAGTAGTAGTAGTAGTAGTAATTAATAGTAGTAGTAGTAGTAGTAGTAGTAGTAGTAGCAATAGTAGTTGCAGTTGGTTGTTGTTGTATCAGTAGTAGCAGTAGTAGGAGTAGTTGTAGTAGTAGTCGTCGTCGTAGTGGTGGTCGTAGCAGTAGTAACAGCAGTAGTGGGGGGAGGAGGAGGAGGAGGAGGAGGAGGAGGAGGAGGAGGAGGAGGAGGAGCAGGAGCAGGAGGAGGAGGAGGAGGAGGAGGCGGAGGAGGAAGAGAAGCGTAGTGGTAGCAGAGGTAGTGACAACACCAGCAATCAAAAAATGAAATTATTCATACTCTTCTTAGCAACGCCAGTTTTACTATCGTTATTACGACTACGGCTCTTCTTGCTATTCTTGAAAGTAGCTAATCCCCAAACCCCAAAGCCCTAAACCCTAAACCCTAAATCCCTAAACTTAAACCCCTATATAAACTCTAAACCCTAAATCGTTGCGTTTCATGGCGGCCTCTCTTGCCTCTGGGCCTTCCTTCCGCGACTCGAGGAGGGGCTCTCCGAGCTTTTCGAAGACGCCCTAAGCTTGCGGGAAGGTTTTTTTTCCAAGGTCTCGGGTATTTGGTTCAGGGTTCAAGGTTTATGTTGTTCAAAGCGCCTCTTTTCCAACCTGCATGTTCAAGGTTGAGGGCTGAGGGAAGTTAGTTTGCATTGCCTGGCTCTGCTGTGTTTGCTTCTACTCTGCATCTCGTTTAGTGTTTAGGCCAGGGATTGGGGTTGGGATCTTGAGAGGCGTTTTATCAGGGGATTTACAACGGGTTCCATAAGGGGTTTTGCAGTTTTGCGGCTCAAGGGCTTGACAGCAGTGCGGCATCAGTCATCAGGCTTTCAAGCGCGCGTTCTTTGCAGGGGTTTAGAGGCTTTAAGTTTCAAACTGCTGGAGGGTTTAACTGGATTGAGAGTTTGATTGGATTGAGTCTTAGTCTAGCGGCCCTTGAGAGTGCTTAGGGGTTACGGCAAGAATTTCAAAGGGTGTCAGCAGAGTCTCGTGGAGTTTCGAGTGCAAGGTGGGTTGAGTTAGGGCATGTGAAAAACAGGATCCACGATACGTTGAAGGCTTGCAGAAACGATCGTTTGAGCAAGGCACCGCATCTCTGGAGCTATGGCCCCGATGGCACAGGCTTCAGTTGCTGCCAAGCACGCCACCGCATGGCGTCTACGAGGCGGGTGCCTCGCATTTCGGATTTCAACTCTCCTGGCTTCGTGGGATTTGCAGAGTTTGGGGTTTTCCCGCGTTTTTCTCTGCTTATAAGGGGCTTGGCTTTGGTTTTGCAGTTCAGAGGGTCGTGGGCTTCGGGGTGGTAGGGCTCTGTCTGACTGCTAGTACCGCTCCATGGGCCCATGGCTCGTCGCTTGAGCATCGGCTGCGACTTGGACCAAAGAGATCGGCTCGACTACCTACCCACCTCGACTGCCACAAAGTGACTCCCAGGCCACGGCTTTTGTTTGAGACTTTTGACCTCCAGCCGCCGGAGAGTTCGTTCCGGAACCTGAGATCGAATTTTCATCATGACGCGGCCATATCGGCTCATCTAGGGGTTCCTTCCTGCGCTACGCTAAGGATTCCTCTGCAGATGTCTGTATGGGTTACTACAAGAAATACCGTAAGGACGGGCTTCTCACAGACGAAGAGGTCATCGCTTCTATTTATGTTGGAACCATACGGATAATAACAAGAAAACTAACACCAACAATCAACAACAAACCTGAAAACTGCAAGAACACTTACCACAAGGAACACCAACAAAAATAACACTAACACTAACAGAAACAACAGCAAAACACAGCACAAGATCAAGGGCAGTAAGAAAACCAGCAATCAGAACAACACCACAACAACAAGACAACACCCAACGACAAGAACAACAGAACTAACCCAAGCACTATAGACAGCAATAATAAGTAAGAGTAACTGTAGCTGTAGTAGTAGTAGTCGTCGTCGTCGTAGTCGTAGTCGTAGTCGTAGTAGTTAGTAGTAGTAGTAGTAGTAGTAGTAGTAGTAGTAGTAGTAGTAGTAGTAGTAGTAGTAGTAGTAGTAGTAGTAGTAGTAGTAGTAGTAGTAGTAGTAGTAGTAGTAGTAGTAGTAGTAGTAGTAGTAGTAGTAGTAGTAGTAGTAGTAGTAGTAGTAGTAGTAGTAGTAGTAGTAGTAGTAGTAGTAGTAGTAGTAGTAGTAGTAGTAGTAGTAGTAGTAGTAGTAGTAGTAGTAGTAGTAGTAGTAGTAGTAGTAGTAGTAGTAGTAGTAGTAGTAGTAGTAGTAGTAGTAGTAGTAGTAGTAGTAGTAGTAGTAGTAGTAGTAGTAGTAGTAGTAGTAGTAGTAGTAGTAGTAGTAGTAGTAGTAGTAGTAGTAGTAGTAGTAGTAGTAGTAGTAGCAGTAGTAGTAGTAGTAGTAGTAGTAGTAGTAGTAGTAGTAGTAGTAGTAGTAGTAGTAGTAGTAGTAGTCGTAGTAGTAGTCGTAGTAGTAGTCGTAGTAGTAGTCGTAGTCGTAGTCGTGGTAGTAGTCGTAGTCGTCGTAGTAGTCGTAGTAGTAGTAGTAGTAGTAGTAGTAGTAGTAGTAGTAGTAGTAGTAGTAGTAGTAGTAGTAGTTAGTAGTAGTTAGTAGTAGTTAGTAGTAGCAGTAGTTAGTAGTAGTAGTAGTAGTAGTAGTAGTAGTAGTAGTAGTAGTAGTAGTAGTAGTAGTAGTAGTAGTAGTCGTAGCATCACCAATATCAACACCAACACCCACTCCACCTCCAACAGCATCATCACCAGTAAACAACGGTAACTGCACAACTACCAACAACGAAGAACCTATCTTTTTAAGGACTTATAAAAGAAAATCATAATATGGAGCCCTAAAAAGGGTAGGTTCTTCAGGGTTAAGGTAATGACTACAGAAGGGGAGCTTCGAGCAGATCCTCAGCAATGCCATTCGGTACTAGACATGAATGCCCCCTACCCTCCCTCCCCCTACCCCTCTAAGGGTCCCTATGAGTAATCAATACAGACGGGCAGCTTAGCGAGGATCCTCAGGAGCAATGCCATTCGACCAGTTTGTCGGCAGCCTCCCGTTCCCCGGCTTCTTTCGCCTTGGCCATCCATTGACATGCCAGCTCATCGGAGCCTGGGCTCTTTTTGAAGAATTCAATTTAAGTTATATACTAGAATGGGGATCTATTACAAATAATATGGCTTCCTTATCATAGTGAATATTATATACCATGATAAGGAAACCATGTTATTTATTATAGACCCCAATTATGGTAACATGAACTTACACTCTTCAACAAAAACCCAGGGAGCTCAGATCGTTCTTGTACAGAAGGGCCAGGTACCACAAGGCAGAAGTGCTACCCCTTGCAATGGCCAACTCGTACATCTCTTTGGCCTTGCGCAAGGCTTTGCCTTCATAATGCTCTTGCATGCTGGGGGATTGTGCCCCCGGCTTGTTCAAGTCGTGAGCCAACTGCTGGTACATGTACCCAAGCCCAGTCGCCGCTTCAGCGCTGCCCCTGTCGATGCTCATCTCATACAGTTCCGTGGCCTTGTTCCAATCCTTGTACACCCCCCGGCCATCGCGGTACATGTTTCCTAGAAGTTCGGGGGCAAGGTCGTAGCCGCTCTTGATGCCCAGCTCATACAGCTCTTTGGCCTTCTGGAAATCCTGTGCTGCACCGTGCCCGTTCTCGTATAGGACTCCAAGACTAGTAGCGGCTCTGCGCCATCCCCTTTGCATGCTGAGTTCGAAGAGTTCCCGCACCTTCTGAAAGTCTCGGGCCACTCCTCGGCCATGGTAGTACATGTTCCCAAGGGCAGCTGGGGCGGCACCGTTGCCCCTTTCGATGCCTATCTCATAGAGTTCTCTGGCCCTGCGAAGATCTTTCGCTACGCCTTGCCCAAACTCGTACAAGATTCCAAGATTGGTGGGTGCGTCAGCGTTGCCCTTTTGCATGGCCTGCTGGAAGAGTTCCCGTGCTTTCTCATAGTCTCGAGCCACCCCTAAGCCATGCTGGTACAAGCGGCCAAGGTCATAGTAGGCAGCAGTGCTACCCTTTGCCTTAGTTGCTGAGTTCATGAGCCTCCAAAAAAGTTTACACTTTCAGTTCTATAGTGGGTAATATTATCCCAAAAAGTGTAGAGTGTATCCACTTAGCTACTAAGTTTCCTACCTTTTTCCTAGGATGCCTAGTAACCTAGGAATAAAAAGGGCTCCCTTTTTGGTATTGGGCAAGTTTATAGGGAACCTAGGACCACAAAAAGGGAATGAGGGTACTACTGAGCATCCTAGTTTCGATGCCCAGTTCATACAAGTCTTTGGCCCTGCGGAAGTCTTGAACCACAGCTTGTCCAGACTCGTACAAGTATCCAAGCCTGCTGAGAGCAAAATTGTCGCCTCTTTTGATGCCCATCTCATACAATTCTTTGGCTTATGAGGCTGAATTCCGATCTAAGTCTGGTTTATGTTGGTTTAAGTAAAATAGGTAAAAAATGAAAATAAAATGGATCCAAAAATGAAAAAAAAATAGAAGCACAAAAGGCCGTCTTAAATCGAAATGAAATTGACAAAAAATAAGAAATAAATACAAAAAAAATAGTTAAAAAATGATTGAAAAATAGAATCAAAATAGGCAAAAAATAGAAGCACAAAGGGCCATGCATATATATATATATATATATATATATGTATATATATGTGTATATATATATAGATACATATATATGTATATATATATATATATACATATATATGTATATATATGTATATATGTATATATATATATATATATATATATATATATATATAAGTACCACCACCACAAGGTTGCAACTTGCAACCATTGATAGAATCAGATAGAAGAAAAATCGACTAGAATAGATTTGCATAGAACAGAATCGAATCGAATGGAAAGGACTAGAATAGACTAGAATAGGATTGAACGGGAGTCGAATAGACCCGAATAGACGAATAGACATCGCAACAAAATTGGAAGAAAAGGCATAGAGGCATAGAGGCATAGAATGGTGAATGAAGCACTGCCGATATCCGCCAAACGCGGCTGTGGGTGCCTGCCGAGACTCCAACTTGACATAATGACAACATGACTAGTAACTATACTAACTATATAGTCATAGTGAATAGTGTTCCCTTGCGGCCCGTGCGAATGTGCGCATGCTGCTGTCACACTTCTTACATGTCAGAGGTCACATGCAGTCATGAACACATAGCCGCAAAGGCTGCAACGTCACAAAGGCCGGCATGCGTGCGCAACGACACGAGGCGGCAGAGCGCAGTGCAAATAAGCAAGCCGAACAATGACCGTTAGGGCTTGGACGTGAGCGAGCTTAAGTCAGTGTCGTCGTCATGTCGTCATGGAATCAGCGAAATTTGCGAATCGAGCCTGGATTGCAGATCGAGAATCGGGATCCCGCAAACGAATCTGGTCCCTTTGTTTTCTACACTTCTGCACTCTACACGACAGGACTCTAGACTCCGGACCTAGAACTCATAAGAGTCTATAGAATAGAATGTGTCGCGTCACATGTCACATTCGGTCCGTGCACAACTGCCAGCCGCCAGAAAATCACACGCCTCACATTTTCCTCGGATCTGATGACACCCTGGTCACTGGTCGAATCTGGTGATTGGTGACTGAAGCCGCTATGGCCACGGCCTTTCCAGGCTCATGACCCAAGCCTCAACTGACTCAAATGAACTTTTAAACCGCCTCTCAAGACGCAAGCTTCCCACAAGCGCACAAGTACAGTCTACAGTGAAAGCTGCAGCCGGCATCCAAGCAATCCGTCCAAATCTACGCCTATGCCCAGTCTGAGTCTATGCCTTTGTCTACGCCGCTACACTGCATACCCAAACTTCCCACAACCACAGCTGGCACCTGAACAGCATCTACAGCTGTGGAATCTTACTATACTACTTTTCACTATATGTTACTATACTTTCCGGGGAAGACTCACAGGTCCCTGGGCCTCTCGCTCGAGCTAGCACCTAGCCAGAGCCACTGCCGGAGCTGCCTCGCTGCTAGTCTGAATCAAAATATACGCCGAATCTACACTACGGCACTACGGCACAACGGTGGCTAATGATCGGCTAATGATAATTGTCCTTGTTTCTTGCACGTGGCCCCATATGATCACATGTGCATACTTCTGCTTCTGTATTCTCGGCAGACTCGCATGGCATCTCACCACAGTCTCGTCGCAAAATGTGAGTCGCATCGCACCTCCCAAAGGCGAAAGCCGAGCGCAGCTGGCTTTGCGTATATACAGGCAATGATGTCATGGTCGCGCTTGACCTTCTCAGTCTACGACGCTACGACTACGAGTCCACGACTCTACGACAAGTCTGCTGCTCTGGTAACACATGGGTCACAGGTTCTGGGGATTCTGGGGAGACTCGCTACTGCCGCTACTCAAGGGGCCTATATGGTATTAGGGCCTCTGACTTCTCTGATTCTTGCAAAACACAATGGCCTGCGACAATGGGAGATCTGAGATGCCTGTGCTAGTGACTCGTGCCGGGGTCCTGGGGCTCCGGGTTAAAAACCTGGGACCTAAAGCTTCATATTCAGAAGTCCTACCTACGGCTAAAACCACACCCACCATTCCCGGACCCTATGCGTGTTCATTTCTCGTATACCGATCCGACTCTACCTGTAAACTGTAGACCTGTAGTCTCCAGTGCAGTTCCATTTTGTGGTTGAACAAATTTTGTATTCAGGATTCTAGATTCTAAAAGGCATACGGCATAAGTTAACCCCAAAAAGGAACAACACTGGAGACTATAGGTATACTCTATGACTCTATGCTATACCCAGGCCCACAGAGCCACATCCTACTGCGTAGGACCTAGGCCGACCTGACCTACCCGACCCGGACCTACCCGACCTAACTGGACTTAACTCAAGTTGCAACACTAGTCAAAGTCCCAGGACCAAGGAATCAGGAAAAACCCGCAATGACCGACACTTCGCTCCACATGCCTGGCTGGCCACTGGGCTTGCGGCTTGAAACAAGCCCGTTTTCAAGATCCCTTGGCAAAAAAGTCTACTCAGTATGGAATGTCGGCCATGGATTTCATCTCGACCCGATGGATGTTAAGTGTTCGGCTCCGGCGCTGGACTCAAACAAGAACAATGTCCTGAGGCCTTAGGGCTTAGGCAGAGGGCTTGGGGCTCGGCTAGGGTTTGAGGCTTAAGGCTTAACTTAAGGGTGAGCATAGCAGCAGCACAGCGGCATTGTGAGATATGACGGCCAACGCTAGCGGCTACTAGGGCCTAGGGCCTAGGGGCTGAGCAATTTAATCAATATACTCGGGCAAAGCTACGATGGCTAAGACTTAAGACTTAAGACTAAGACTCAGACTTGATTCATGAATCGCCGCAGCCACACTAAGTCACCAGAGCTGGCATGGGAGGCTGGCCTGGGCCATTGCCTCTGCAAGACTCAAAGACTCGAACCGGCAGACGAGATGGACATGCAGAGTTGCGGCCACGGTCACTACAGCATTGCATCACTACTACATCACTATGTCACCTCGCAAGAGTCACTACACCGACGGACTACACTTCACTACACACTACACTCGTCACTAAGTCACTAGGACTAGGCGCCGCTACACTACACGACACATTCACTGCCGCGACAACTCCGTGGCCTTTGCCACAATCTTCGGATGAAGCAAACGCTTGTAATCAAGCTCCACGGCGAACTTGTTGTTGGCCAAGCGTTTCAGCTGGCTGCTGGTCTCCTGCACATAATTTTGGTCCATGATGGCTCTGACAAGGAGCGCCTCGCCGGAGGTTGCCATAGAGCTTGCCAAGATCAGCCTGGCATGGGCCACATTCTTTGGCCACTCCTCTTGGGACACACTGTAGCGCTCCAGGACCGCCAGCATAGCCTGGTACGCGGCTTTGGCCGGTTTGAACAAGTTGGCGATCTGGGGCTCCACATCCTTGGTGAAGACCTCTTGCACCCACCGCTTTGCTGCTTCAATCACATTTGAAGCACCCTCCTCGCCCTCGGCCTGCTCCGCCTCACCGGACAGGAAGACATTCTTCCACTTTTTGCCATCCGAGCAGCCATACGCAAACTTCTCAAGCTGAAGGAGGTTCTCCTGAAGCGTGGTCTCCGCATTCTTCAAGAGCACCTGTTTGCATTCCCCGATGCCGCTTGCCACGCTTTCATGCAAGGCTTTCAAGTTATTGATGCCCCGCATCGCCACGTCTCTCAGCGACGCTGCACGTCCCTGAAAAATGGCGTCGGACTTGGACTCGGAGGCGAAGTCGGACAAACACTGCTCTGCACGAAGGTTGGCCGCAATGATCTTCTGCTCCACAAGCTTGTAGCCGTCGTGAACGATTTTGGCCGCAGTGTCCTTGCCGAGCTTCTCAAACTCTGTCGACGCCACACGTAGGTTCGCCGCATTGATGAAAATGTTCGCCAATGCACTCATGGCTGTCTCGTCGTTCTTCTCGGGCAAATGAGCGGCCAAGCTTTCACAAGGTCGTGCAAACTTCAACATGTCTGCAGGCTCGGCACCCGCGGCGGCCGTCAACAAGTGCTCAACTGTTGCGAAGGCAGCCTCCAATGCAAGTCATGCACCGCTTCTAGCGACTATAGGTCCGGTAAGCACACGCAAAATCAATGAATCTAGTCCGGCCTCTCTAGACTCTTAGACTCTATGAATCTAGACTCCAGCAATGATCTCAATTCGTGCTGCTGCTGGTTTGTAGCGACACAACGGACACCAACATGTGAAATCATGGCTCCATGACAGTATATACGTGTACGAACATTTTTTATAGCTGCAAGCTCCTGCTCCTCCTGAGGTCCCAGTCCTACTCAAGATTCCCGGTGCACTTCGCGCATTAAAGTGCTTTGGGGTTCCAGGTTCTGGAACTCTGAAATTCTCCGTGGTTAGGTGGGTCTGAAAATTCCCTGTCTTTCTGGCCCCTATGATTTTTTACGGTTACCTTAGATCTTCGGTTTCACAGATGTAAGGCATGCACCTCGCAGAACGCCGTGGAGTATGTGGTGGATGCTCTTTGTGTGGGGGACGGGGTGAGGGTGGGGCGTGGACTTCTGTCTGGGTTGGGGTTGGGCCGGTCTGGGGGCGTGGGGTGGGGTGGTGTGGGGTGGGGTGGGGTGGGCTGGTGTTGGGGTATTGGGGTGTTGGGGTGCTGGGGTGTTGAGCTGTTGGGTTGGGGTGTTGGGGTGTTGGTGTTGGTGTTGGGGTGCTGGGTTGTTGTGGTGGGGTGTTTTTGTGGGTGCGGGGTGTGGGGTGTGGGGTGTGGGGTGTGGGGTGTTGGGGTGTTGGGGTGTTGGGGTGTTGGGGTGTTGGGGTGTTGGGGTGTTGGGGTGTTGGGGTGTTGGGGTGTTGGGGTGTTGGGGTGGGGTGTTGTGGTGGGTGTGGGGTGTGGGGTGACTGTACAGGAAACGAAATTGTCCCCAAATGAATTTGTTTTGGACAGCTATACGAAGCACTTTGTGGTGTGGGGTGCGGCCGGGGTGGGGCGGAGTGGGTGGGGCGGGGTGGGGTGGGGTGGCACGTAGGGGCGTAGGGTGGGGCCGAGAGTCGAGAGTGAGAAAAACCTGCAAAGTCGAGAACTTCATACTTTCTGCTGCGGGTGGGTGCTTAAGCAAAGGCTAAGCGGCTAAACTCCGTAAACACATACAAAAAACCCGCTTGGCCTGGTAACACGCGGAGGCCAAGCCTTATCCAACTAATTACTCCTACGGCCCTACACTTACTTACAAGATTTGTGAAGGAACGCCCGAAGGAATGCCTGATGTGTGCACGGCAACAGAATCAGAATGTTTCCTTTGGCCTAGGGCCTAGGCCTAGGGCCCAACAGAACCGACCTGCGTAGCATGTTTCCATGACCGCGCCTCTGACAAAGCAACGGTGCCATCAGCGAAATCTTCATCTTGCAAAAGAATACCCCGGCAGGTACGGCAAGCCTCGGACAAGGATGTGCTGAGAAAGCCAGGATCCTCACACTTCTCCTGTCTCAAGACCTCCACGAGCTTCTTGCGCTTCTGGTTCACCACCTCCTCGGAAACGAGCGGCTTCAGCTTCTCGGCCCAGCCGGCAACCGTCTGCTTCCAAGTCCGGTATTCGGGCAAGTTTGCGAGCTCCGGGAGAGAATTCAATGCTTTTTGGCACAACTCCGACACGCACAAAGCCGAAACTGCGGCCTCGGTCGGAGCCCCGTCGCCCTTGACATTGAAACAGTCCACAGCCTGCTCGAGGGCTTTGAAGCATTGCTTCTGCAAGGTAAGTGTGCCTCCCGGTCTTGAAGATTCGCACCAGGAGTTCGAGGACACCACTGCCACGCCCACAGCATCCACTAGCCTCTGCATCTCCACGGGCCCGGAGGTTGGGTCTGTCTGGGCAGCCATGGCCGCAACAAGATTCTGCATGCACTCCTGAATCGGTCCCCGGATGCTCTCCTCGCTGAAAGCGTAGCCCCAGTAGACCCGTAGGACTTCCTGCATCAGGTTCTCAGAGCGAAAAACACGGAGATGAGAATGCAATTTTGGTATGTCACAGTCACATCTGCTAGTGTAGGTGTAGGCCACAAGGCAAGGCTCTTTATTTCTGTACGACATAGACATAGACGTGGCATGAGAGCAACTACATAGCCTCGGGCCTCTGGCATGTGGCCTGGGGCATCTGGCGACACTAATTTCCACGTTCAGTGTATGTGCTCCCACCTGGCCTTGTAGTGCGGACTGGCCTTCAAAGTTTGCCCAATCCTGGCTCGCACTTTCTGGGTTTCGGCTGGGTTGGGGTTGGGAGCCCATAACCATAACCCTGAAACCTGCAACCCTTTCAATCCAATCACAAGTTCCAAGCGGCCATGCGAAAACCTCAACACCTGAGCCCCATGCCAAAACCCTTTCAACTAAAGCCAATGCCTTAAATTTTAAACACCGAAGACCCCGAGTCTTTAGCTAGCAGCTAGCTAGCCAGCTGCAAACAAGAGGCGTGTACAGCACAGACGTGGTGTTCTTCTCATCGGACAGACTCTTCACTGCGTTGCTTGACAAGACCTGTGGGCCGGAGGATGCGGAAGTCGGGGCGCCCGAATCACTGTTGCCTGCCGCACTGAAAAACCCATTCGAGCTGATCGCAACCAGGCCAATCAGAGAAGTCAGGGCCTGCCGCACGGAAGCCTGTGCATTGGCATACCCATCAGCAACGGGCATGCCAGAAGCGGACTTGGTGAGCACATCCACGCAGCGGGCCCCACATTGGGAGGCCTGCGCAAGCTTCTCCTGTCCCTCCTTGCCCTCCCGGATGAGTGTGAGAATCTTTCCCAAGAATGCCTTCTCAAAGATCTTCACCTTGTCAGCCATGGAGGTGTGGTTGCAATCCTTCAGCATGGGGTGAACCACGTCAAAGGTGCCCTCGCTGCCCTCGCTGTCCTGGTTCTGAAAGTTTCGATTCTAGATTCTAGAATCTAGATTCTAGATTCTAGAGTAGAGGATTTCGAGATGACTGCTACTTAGAATCTAACATCTCAAGCTAGCAGCTAGCTTGAGATGTTAGACTTTAACCGTTAGAGTCACAGATTTCTTGATTTTTATCGAGCACGAAAACCCGTCCTCCTGCCGCATGGTGTCATTGGTGCCGTCCGCCGGTCGTGGCGCATCCGCACCGGTGTTCGGGTTCTGATCCTCTGTCATTGCGCCATGACTGCCATGACACCCCCTCATCTTTAGGATTTAGAACTTTATGCATCCTTCTTGTCCTCCTACGGCCCTACTCCCTACTTGAGGGTTTATCCCTCCGGCATAAACCCTCAAAGACCTTAAAGTTTAGCTTTGCAGCTTTGCGGCTTTGCAGTGATAATTGCTTGTCCTCGGCTACGCGGGTAACTCGGAAATCCCAAACTTCCCTAAGCCCTGAGCCCTTAACTCGGCAACCTGTAACAAGTCCAACCCCCATTTAACAATTCTCAATACCAATACCGGTGAAACCCAGACCCAGGGACCCAGAGCTGTCCTTCGTTTCACTGGCACACTTCAGCTGGAAGTCTTTCTCCGAGAAGGGCAAAGGACACGTACATGCCCAGAAGAGAGACTCATCTGGGCCGCATTCTTTTTGCACACGTGCCACCATGGCCAGCTGCACCTGCTTTGGCACCTCATCGCCTTTGATGTGGGGTTTGATCAGCTCGGCGTGGATCTGGTCGAAAGTCTGTTGACTAGTGACTAGACTAGAGCCTATAATACCACAATTGTGCTCAAGAGAAACCATAACTGTAGCAGCTGCGCCGGCTGTGGCTACGAGTTTCGCGGATCTCAAAACCATGCGAATGCTAGCTGCTAGCTGCTGCTAGCTATTGATTGTCAGGACACCTTCTTTCATCTGCACCATAACCATAGCCATAACCATAACCATAACCATAACCGTCATAACCCTGGCCCTGCCCCTGAAAGCACCCCAGCGGACCTAGCCTAGCCACCCAGCCATAGCCGCGTTGCCGCAGCCGAGTAGCCATACCGAAACCCCGAATGCCATACTGCCCTATACGGCCCTATACCCTGCCCCACGGCCGATTAAAAGATTACAGCAGTAGTATAATAGGATTCTCGTAGCTGTAAACGTTTTAATAGCCGATAGCCTTAACTCTTCAGTGAAACTCTGTGAAACAACATCCCGCCTTCACCTGTTCCAACGGAATTTGGGACAGCTCTGCCGGAGTCAACATGAGGGCGGCCGTACAAACAGCGTGGTCCCGCTCCAAATCTGCAGCGTCTGCTGTGAGGCCTTTCTTTTCCAGCGATGTCATGAACTTGCTGATGAAATACAACTGCTGTTTCGTGACTGTGCCGCTCAGCACCTTCGAAACAGACAAATTTGCTTTGTGCTCCGCGATCAGCTTGTCCATGGCATCCTGTCCCCGAACCCTTGATGTCCCGCTCTTCGAGTCATCATCCTTTCTCGGTTTTTTGGATGGCTTGCTCTTGTCACACTTCTCCTTCGGCTCCTTGTCCCTGACCTTGTTGTCCTGGTCCTTCCTCTTTTTCTTGCCGCCTTTTCCTCTTGGAGCTTCCTCTGCCTCCGCGGGGGACAGTCCGACTCCAGACACCGGCAGAGCCAAGCCAGGCGTTGGCAGTTCTGCCTCGATGATTGTCACCTGCAGCACAGGGCATAGGCATAGGCATAGGCAAGTCGCAAGCCGGCCAGGGCCAGGCAAACGGCAAAAGCAAGTTACAAGCAGCTTGTGGGACTCTGGATTTTCAGGTTAATGACATTCACGCTGCAGTCGCTGGGCCGGCATGGGGCGTGGGGGTTTGTCAGGTGACGACACTGTCTGTGGATTCCTGTGCCTGTGCTGTGGATTCCTGCGCGCTAGAATCTAAAATCTAGAATCACATGAAACTGAAGCGAACTCAAACTCAAGCCGCTCCAGCCTGCTCAGGCTCAGCCGATGCCAGCGACTCCAAAAGCTCGTCTATTTCCATTTCCGCCCTCGGCTTCACGCTGCCGGATGCGGCCACGGTGCTCTTCTTCTTGAGCTCCTCAGCCTTTTTCAGCATCTGCTCGGGGGTGTACTGTGGCAGCTCCACTTTGATGGAGTTGTTGTGTGCGTGAGCTTTCTGAAAGCTAGAGTACCCTTCGAGGCCTTGCTGCGGTCGAAGAGTGTTTCGAGCCGCCAGCTGAACGTCCTCACCGGGCAACCGATGCTGCGAGGTGAAAGGTGAAAGTCAACAGGCACAGCAAGGAACAAGAATCGTGCAACACCAAAATCAGGCGGAATCAGCCAAGTCCGAAATCACTTCTCACAAGGCCATGGCCACCACGCGCAGGGGCAAACACAATCAGATCACAAAGAACAGAGACAACATGAAAACAACACGCAAGTAACCAACTAAGGGATATGCCGTGACTAAATTGCTTCTCACGTGAAGCAGAATCACGGACATGGGCCATGGGCATGGAGGCTCCCGCTTCCGCTTCAGATTCAGATCATAAACTTAGAATACTTTGAGTCGCTCAAAGATTTTGTTGAAGTTTAGTTCCGTTCGGAACTTGAGGTCCTCTAAAATCTAACTTGAGGTACTTTGGGCCGCAATAACAGAAGAGTCAACAACAAACGCTGGCCGCTGGCCCTATCCGACCCTATCCAGCCTTGTAACAATACTCGTGCACGGAGTATCTGACCAAACGCCGATGAAGCCTCTCGGGATCGCGAAGGAGAACCCCAGTCATCTCATTCCCATACTCATCCTCTTCAGTTGTGATTAGGTGGCTGAGCTCCGTGTGCTCCGCTGGTTTCACACCGAATGTTTGCTCGAACTCCGCCATGGAGTAGAAGATGAAGTAGGTTTCGATTCTGCTGCCCGTGCGCTTGACTTTGTCCAGCTCCTCCTCCCTGAAGCTGCGAATCATGTCCGGGTTCAGATGGTAAGCCCTGGCCTTCCCGAACTCGTCTGCAAATTGCGGCTCCCTTTTCTTGCGCGAAGAAAGATCTGTCAAGGTCGACTGGGGATAGCTTTTCAAAGCTGTCCTCGAACAGGCTTGGCAGAAGACGTTGTGGGGCAACTTCACTCTCAGATCGTCCACCGTGCAAATCTTCCAGCTTGCCCAAAGAGGCCCTGCCGGCCGTATGGTCATAGCCTGACATCGTTCGGCCGAGAGTCCTAGAATCCTAGACTTGGGCTTACCCCGCACTCTACATTCTAGAGTCTAGAAGCCCCGGCCTGGAATACTAGAGTCTAGAGCCCCTCAAGGTGACCTCGTAACCTCGGCCTGCGACAGACTCACACAAGTTCACGAAGACTGTGACTATGACTAGACGTCACTAGACTCACTAGACTCTCTTTACTCTAGACTCTAGACTCCAGACTCGGAATAACAGAAATAGAACATTTAGTATAAAATAGAATAGAACATGGGACATAGACTCAGACATAGAACATAGACATGACATAGACATAGAATCAGAGAACAGCATGAAAAGAATACAGTGAATACAGGATCTCATTTCCCGGACTCCAACCCGCCGACCCGGCCTGAGCAGTCGCACTTGCCGCCTGTCCGGCACCCTGCTGACTCTGTTGCTCGCACACGACCAACGTCAGCTTGGCAATGCAAAGAATCACCGCTCGTTCCCCGCAGAGATCGCACACCAATGTTTCACAGTGATGCGTGATGAGGCCCTGCAGCTTCAGGAGCTGCACTTGCGAGAACGAATGACCGACAACTTCATTGCCATGCTGGTCTTGCAGTGCGTACGCAAGTGCCCCCGGCTTCTTGTCACCGCCACTCAGAGGCTTCTTGTTGTCCTTCGCATCTCTCACAGGGACCTCCTTCTTGTCACCCTTCTTGTCCTTTTTCTTCTTGGCCTTCTTTTCATGTTCGGCGGGCCGACCGTCCCCGGCTTCATCTTCCTTCTCATGATCACTTGCCAAGAAATCTGACAAGTCGCTGGGCATGCCCTCATCCGACATGTCATCATCGAACAAGTCCGCCATGTCCCGTC